CTCATTTGGGAAAATTTCTAAATACTCTTCCTTCGCTTTCCAAAAAGCTAAGTCGACCCGATTATGGTAAGAAATTCTTTAGTATTTTTATCTACACTTTTAAATACTCTTTTTAGTTAAATAAAATGATGAAAACGTAAAATAATTATGGTGAATTTTTCGTATTCATTTGGTGACGTATTTTGATCCATGTTGGTTGATAATTTATTTTGGCGATTTTATGCTTTGTTTTTTGAACGAATCGCAAAATGGGGTTTTATGGATATTAATCCTTTCTCCTACCTTCAATAAAGGCAAAGAGGGGTATTTTAAAGAACCCCGATTTCAAAGAATATTTTGATGGTCAAGCCCAAAAATAATAAACCTTTTGCTAGATGTGTGGACCCCCACTAGGTTCCGAACATGAGGCATGAGACACGAGGCACGAGAGTGTGATTTATGGTTAAGATGCATGTCACATTGGTAAATCGATGATTTGCATGGTTGAACTTATTGATTTGATGTTTAATGTCTCTACGGTGTTTGATATTGTTTATTCATGGAAATATTAACATAATGCATAAAACTTGATGAACGGAATCGTATGCGGGTTTGACAATTCGCCTTACCTTAGTAATGGTGAAGAGACTTATCCTAGCGGCCTTGATTCGAAACGATAACTCGAAAGTTGAACCCGAAAAAAATGGGCCTTCAGGCTAAATATGAGCCTTCGGGTTGGATAAGATGTGGTATCCTTAACAGATTTGGAAACGATTGCATCAAACATGTAGCAAGCATATGAAAGAAACATGACATTATTGTGAGCATGAATTAAACAAGTGAAAAGAATGAAGAAATTCGTTCATCTGTTATCTCTAAGGGGTTTCTGTTTCTCCCCCCTCTAAATAAGTATTGGTGAACCGCTCCTTGTGATGATCGGTGTTCCCACTAACGAGAGAAGATACGTGTTAGGTACATGTAGGACCACCTTGGCGAATGTATGATTATGATCATAGTTTAGATGGGGAAATGATAAGGACTCAGGGATGGGTCAGTGATTCATAGCGATAGTCGGGGATCCCTTCTTCCTTCAGTGGATATACGTTGCAACAGTTTCATGCGAAAGTCAGTAAAAGACTAAATAAAACTTAAATGTGGTTAAGATAGTACCCCGATTTGTATGATGATTCTTCTATGGGAAAGTGTATTGTGTGTATTTCCGACATCTACCTTATGGCTTGCATGATGATCCCTCTAGTTATTAGGCATACTATCAGTTTGAATACATGTGATATAATAATGTAAAGTAGTGGTATTCCTAGCATGATGGAATAACTGTTTCACCATATTTCTTAATAAAGACAACGGTTTTCCGTATGAGTAAATGACTCCCCTGCAACGAATCTCTAAGGTAAGAAGTATAAAGGTTTATTTCGGTTTCTTACTCCTTGAAAAAATTGATAGAGAAAGAAAAGTATGAGAAAATTGTTTCTCTTATTTTCTGATTATGACAGATTATATATATAGAATGAAAAAAACGTAAAATCAGACTAACAATAAATCCCATAAAATCTGTAATTTATTCAAATCTCATGAAATTTGAGATTTATTTCAGATTTATTCAAATCCTATAGAATTTGGAATTTATTTCAAACTGTTATGGATGCGAATATAGAAAGCACAACAAGAATAGAAAATTGACATTCACTTAAATATGGAATCCTAATTAGTATTA